TCGTTCTGCATTCGTTGTGTTTGTAACGAGTTTCTGCTTTTTCCTCTATGTAACTATCCGAGATACGTAAGAAGGACAAGTAGGCCGGTTGGGACACTTTCATGCGGCTCATCCTTTCTCAATAGAACCCATAGTTGTACACTTCCGATCAGAATGCATCGTTGGACCGAAGACTTATTTTCAATGTTAGACACGATCATGTGCTTTCCATGCTTCCAGCGAGGTAATAGTAATGTTACGCGGCGGATGTGAAACATAAGTTTATTTTGATTTACATAACAATATAGAAGGGTGTATTCGAAAAAGCCATTTGCCAGAAAGTTCAGCTCCTGATTAATTATTGGCACAAGGTGGTTTCTTCATTTTTCGCCGTTTAACGGAAAATAACTAAAATTTCTTCATCGATAACACATTGTTCCTGCTTCAAAGTGGTGTTATAGGAGATCGTATTCCGCTATTAATTTTATGTCTCTTATTATTTTCATCCTAACACTCCATAGCCATTTGATTCCTTTATAGTCAGAGGTGAGACAAAATATAAATTAACAACGGAGACATATTTTATCAGTAGTAATCTCTTCGTAATTGCATTTTGACACATTTCACTCTGCGAGTTTTTTCGTTTGATTAAAGCGCTATATATTTGTTAATGTGTTTCAGTCTATTTTCCATGGGAGCTGGAAAAAGGCGCGGTGAACTGGTTTTATGAGACAATCGTTTTATTTCTCCGTTCCTAAAAAATTGAATTCTAAATCTCAAAGTTCTTTGGACGAGGAAAGTTTGCCTGCATCGAAGGGTTCTCATTAGACAAGCGGTAGCTCCAACGAAGATCACAATTTGCAACTTTTTTGCCAGCCATTTGTAACAGCGTTCGTGCGAAACATCTTTGCGGCAAAGCAGAGTTGCCTCTGATAATCCAGTAGCTTTTAAGCTATGAATACTTGAGTATTTGAGTTTTGAACACAGATCCTCTCTTGATGCTTTCTAAGCTTCTTAGTCCTTTTCTAGGAAAGGTTCTAAATTCAAATTCATCATATTGTACTTATCGATTTAATTCACTACATACTTTGACTATTCAACACTCATGTGAATTGCCAGTTTAATGCAGTTATAAAGCTACAATGCAGCATCCAACAAAGACAATGTTAGGCACATTGCAGTTCAGTTGACAGTTGCAAATGCAGAGAAAAAGTGCGATCCAAATGGACCCCATGCCAGCATTTGAATTGCTGTGTTCACTACACTTCGCCACATCGCTCTTGACCAATTCGCCATGATGATGTTTGTGGTCTGCATAATGTTTTTTTTTTTTCAACGGAATGAGTGCAAAAAACAAAGCAAGTCTAACCGAGAGAGTTACTGATATTGTTAAGTGATCGCTGGAAACGCTTGTTACGGTCACCTTGCCCGGGCCTATTGCAGTAAACTTCGCCTGCTGTGGATTAGCATCAGCAGTACAAATTCCCGTCACCATGTTGCCGACGACTATGCAGAACTCCTTATTAGCTTCATCACCTGCAAAAAACTATAAGTCTCAAAAAGCACGTTTCTTTGTTTATTATAGAAGTGAGACCTGAAAACAAATTCATACACCGATTTCCTTCTATTCTTCAAAACCCTTCCCACCACTACTTCTTGCATGAATACTATGTCTTTTTTGTGGGTGGTATTGAAAACCCGTTAGAAAAAACCTCAATTCAAAGGATTTAAATCCAGTGCAATTTATAGTTAGTATTCCCTTAACTCCAAGGCATTAGAATTTGTCTATGTCGTTTCATTTGAAGAAGAATGAACATTTATACTGTATAAGCTTGTAATACCCTTTCTGCGTGCAGTCATTCGGATACCTGTTTATTATCAAAGACCCACGTGCTTCCTCTGGGCTAGCTACCATCTGGCATTTCAATGGTTTGTAGTTGTTCTCAACACTAAGTTGACCCAAAATGGTGGCGATTACAGCATCGGGTAGGAGTGCATTACGACCTTGACTCTCAAGAGTGTTAAATACCTGAAGGACGAATTCTCCACATCTTGGTAGAATTAATTTGAGGAGTCTTCAATGGAATTATGTGAAGGTACTTGAGCCATGTTAGCAGCAAAAGAATGACGAAATGTCACAGTAGTGGAGCGAACTGACCACGCTTTCAAAATTCACGATGGAAACTTGAAATTTAAAAGTTGTCAACTTACTGTTTGCATCACAAGACGTTCTACAAACGCCTTAGCTCCGGCCTCACTGGTTGCAATGCCAGGCACTCTCGCAAGAACATTGGGCTCTTTCGTGTAAACCATGGCTACAGGCAAAGTGAAGCCGGTGGCGGTAAAAGTAACAATCCTAGCTACAATGTAATTTTGTCGTTCTTGTGGTATAATTAAAAGTGGATTTACAATGTTAGTGAGTTTGAGGCTTATTTTCGTATGAAATTAAAAATCTCCCATCAAAATATTTAAAGATAAATAACATTTTCGTAGTGGTGAACATTTGATACATTTATTTCGATTAACGTTCATAAATTGCCAAATAAGATCATAGACCTACGCAGTACTATAACAATCTCTTATTCATTACCTCGGCCTGCAGGCATCACTCCACATCCAAGCACTGTCCGGATTGTGGCTAGCAGAAAAATCATTGTGGAACCCATCGGATATTTTACCACATTTGCAAAAATTTTCATTTTAGCGTCCGAAGAATCTAGACAAATAATGCAAGCTCATGCCTTTACATTCGTCTGTTTTTATAGACCATCGTTCAAGACAATACATATCCGATAATATATTTTAAGCTTATCATTAAGTCTGTTATGGCACTTACACAATTCCTCGCCATTGAAGCTTGTCAGAAACACGGTGCCTATCGGTGCAGCCATTTCGTTAAAGGAATTTACATTGCATAAATGCCATAACAGACTCATGATAGGCTCATGATACAATACGAACTAAATATTTTTGCAGCATGTTTGATAACAGATTCTGATAGTTACGAGCACAGGGGAATCGGCTACTGAAATGAAGTACATGACAAGCACTGAATTAAATTGAGATTTGTGAACAAGACCAATCAAGTAGGGATTTAGTGAATGCGACGATTCGTCAGATGCCACGGCTTGAATCTGGTTCCGACTCATTGGTGATGCTACCACATTTTACGTGACTTCCCCAAAAGTAAATAATTCGCAAACTACCCAGCGCTGACGTTTGAAACGTTTTTCACAATGGTTTCAGAATTCGAAGCCGCCTTTGATCACATGTTTCTTATCAACCCTCTAATTTAGCACTCTTGTTGAACCCATCTTATGACGGAGAGGTCGACTGATAGCTATATAGAAACTACAGCGTTTCTTTGTAAAATAAACAGACAGGCGAGAAATGAAACTGGTCCAGCATTTCACCACGTAACGAGAAAATGAGGAACCACATCAGGATTATCCATTGTAAAGCAACCACACTTGAGTTTCAAGTCTTACATTCTCAGACATTCTAAGCTCTACATTATGGTGAGAACTTCATGAAGCATCGTCAGTTTGAAGAAGTTTTCATGATATACAGACAAAAAAAAGTTTGCGATTGTGTTCGTTGTATAATTCGTATTATAAAGCTTCATTGCATTTTTGAGGGTTACAAACTCTTCTGCGGTTTCTCTCCTTCCTGTAAATGTTGTAGGAAGATCTTAAAAAAAGTTTTTTTTTTGCAGAAATATCGATTGAAAAGAATTATCGATAACTTGTGCAGTGATCAATCTTTTTTATTGGTCCAATTTAGACCCGAAACAAGGCTTCAAAGCACTACTGATAAATTCTTCCGTGGAAGATGCAAAGAGCTGCTTAATACGATTTCAATCTTTTGCCAATGTATAGTAGCAAAACTCGTTCTTTAGTTCATTATTGATGTGCACTATGCAATAGCTTGAACAGCTATCATATGAGGACCCTTTACTGATGAAGTACCTCAAACGAATTGAGAATTGAACATTACCTTTATCGCAAAAGTCTCCGCCCATTTGCACGCAAAGTAATTGGTATACGAGAATTCGCTTATATTGAATAAATTGACTAAATTTTTCTGCTAGAAGAGGTGTATTTTACTTTCTCCTCTCAAGTGATCAATCAAAAACACCGTTACTGCTGCATAATCAAAAGCCTTTTATGACTTTTTTTTGAAGGATCACAGAAGCTGAAGAAGCAGTTCAGTTTTTCAGTCGTTGAATGCGTTTATTTGAATTGCTGAGCAGCGAACAGTTTCGCCGCAGTAATCTTCTTTTGCTTTCATTACGATATTGAACTAAGTTACAGATGTCCAATCACTGCTTTTGCAAAACCGTTTCCTCGAAGATCACATGAACGAAGCTGTCTCACTGCACTAACTGGTGTGAATTACTGTGAAGTATTCAGTTGACAGTCTTTATCACGCAAACATCGTTGTATACTTTCAGAAATTTATGTCTTAATAAGAGCTACGTTTCTTCTTACATGCGAACATTAATAATGAATGGAACTACGTGAATCGAAAGAATTAACCACTCCTTCTGATAGTACACCTATGCGGTTAATAAATGAAATTGTGGCAACTGATGTTTTCCAGTTCGTCAGATAATTAATGTTCTAGATATAGCCAGTGTTATAGAGTGATGTGCGAGCTTTAGCGCCAGAAGTAACCACAACCCGCGACTCACTCTTTCCGGGAGCGCGTGCTCTATCCGTTACACTACTGGCGCCCATTTTGCACATCGCTCTTTCTACGCTACTGCGCATCTATCTGTCAGCTGCCAGCCGTCTACGGCCTGGCCCGGATAGTAGGTCTCGACATTAACCTCAGTTACGCTGATAGATGATGGGTATTATAGATTAAATGATATTCTTTTATTTAACCGCTTATAGCGGTGGTATGATGTTATAGATATTACCCAGTGTTATAGAGTGATGTGCAGAATTTCAGCGCCAGGCGGGTCTAGGCTGACAGATAGATGCGAAGTAGCGTAAAAACAGCGATGTGCAAAATGGGCGCCAGTAGTGTAACGGATAGAGCACGCGTTCTCAGAGAAAGTGAGGTGCGGGTTCTAGTCCTGCCTGGCGCTAAAGTTTTGCACACCACTCTATAACACTATGTACATTTATAACATCATACCACCCCAAAAAGTGAGTAAATAGAAACAATTTCACTTGGTCTCCAGTAAATGCTCCTTTAGTTATATATGTGAGTGACTACTTACTCTGTTTATCTGGTAGAAGGAAAAGAAGCTATTGTGCATAAATTTACCGATGAACCAGGAGTCATGAATATACAGATTTTCTGAAAACGATAGCCTAAGCAAACCCCGTTGCTGTTTTCGTAAATGCTGGCTAATGCTAATCCTACTGCTATAGGATGGACTGTTGAAGAAATAGCAAATATTTCCGTCCGGAATGGCCAAGGACCGTCCTACAACCTCTGTCAAGTCGCTTCACATAAGCTAGTGCCGTGTATGAGAGGGCAGAGATGATGTGCTGCTTACTATGCCTCCTCGACTGATCCCGATACGATGTACTGAGGAGAACAGCAGCTATTGACTCTCAAATCGGAACGTCGTAACCTTGAATAAAACGATACTGCCTTAAAATTTGCCATGATAAAAATTCATAACAAACTTGTGTAGCTTCTCAATAAAAAAAGTGTTGATTATCCATACTGAGGTTTAATGAAAGGCGGATATAAAGGATGTTTGCTATCAAACGCAGAAAATGCTGTGAAGAAATTATGGTGCCCGTAGTACGGTAATTATGGCCGTTCAGTACAATTCTTAAGACTCTTGTGTCTGATAAGGATATGACTTACTTTGAGCCATAGGTCTAGTGCTATATAGGCGCCTATTTCGTCCTATTGGGACTCATCAGTAGCACCCTCCCTCGGTTCCGTCGATCCCTTGAGGTTAAATAATCCTCTAAAGGAATCGGCGCCGAGTAAAAACTAATCACCCAAAGTCGGATGATGGTCTTACCTGACTTTGTGGTGACCGGCAGTCGAGCTTACGGCTTTTAAAATAAACTATACTTCTGCTATCGACTGCTTTTTTACAGACCCGCTCAAAATGATTTAATCTGATAAGGATATGACTTATTTTGAGCCATAGGTCTAGTGCTATATAGGCGCCTATTTCGTCCTATTGGGACTCATCAGTAGCACCCTCCCTCGGTTCCGTCGATCCCTTGAGGTTAAATAATCCTCTAGAGGAATCGGCGCCGAGTAAAAACTAATCACCCAAAGTCGGATGATGGTCTTACCTGACTTTGTGGTGACCGGCAGTCGAGCTTACGGCTTTTAAAATGAACTATACTTCTGCTATCGACTTCTGCTATCTATTTTAAAAGCCGTAAGCTCGACTGCCGGTCACCACAAAGTCAGGTAAGACCATCATCCGCCTTTGGGTGATTAGTTTTTTACTCGGCGCCGATTCCTTTAGAGGATTATTTAACCTCAAGGGATCGACGGAACCGAGGGAGGGTGCTACTGATGAGTCCCAATAGGACGAAATAGGCGCCTATATAGCACTAGACCTATGGCTCAAAATAACTCTTGTGTCTTTTGAGAAATTTTTTTCTTCGTTGTGTGTATCAAACAATATAGTGACGACCTCAAGAAACTAGTTCTCCAAGTCATTAGTGGAAAATGATTGCTAGAGAAATTTGGATCCATCATGACTCTGTGATTGTGCGGTGGTTATGGTGGCCATGGTCTCGTTTGCTTAAATGCTCAAGATGCTGTTTGCATACTTAAAAATAACATTTTGTTGGTACTCCAACAACTTCAAGATTAGAGCATATGAGTGTAAACTGCATCATATTTCACAGCGTGTCATTCTCTACATCCTTTATCACGGACTGCACTAGTAAGAAATTAACTTCTAAAGAACCGTTTGGTTTTCTAGGATGGCATTACACGTCATGGAAAGCTACGATTCTTTCAAATCAAATATGATGACGAGAATTCCTCTTCTTGGAAAGCAAAGTGATATGTTTTTAGCTCATAGCGAATTGAAAGCATAGTTAGCACTATTCAATCATCGGTTGAGTTTATAATGAACTGTATGCATAGCTGATTAAGCATCCCGTCCCTTTCAACTGAATTACTGAGCGACGAACAGTTTTCTCACAACATTCTGCTTTCGATTGATGCGATACTGTGGTTAGTCACAGAATTTATGCTGATGGAGAAAATTCACCATTGTTGTCGCCTAATGATCAAAGTAATCAATGATTTCCAAACAATCCTTTTCCAGGAGCAGGTACAACATCACGCTCATCCTGCTAATGAAAGTAGATATGCCTCTTGATCGGATGCATAACTTTGAATCCACTATCATACAACTTTAAATTCTCTATTCAGTATTCCTGAGATTTTGAAATTGACAGGTATAAGAATATGTTGGCCAACAGATTAGCACCTTAAATATTGTAGAAGCCATCGAGGTGCCCACAAGCATTCTTCGCTGTTGCGTAGGTGTCCATAAACGCGTCGTATCAATACGGAAGTAACACTTATCGAACGAACTGTCCGCAATAACTAGTGCACATTTGTACAGAAGGGTTCCTAAGATAAAATTTTTGCATTGATTGTTTGCATAGAATTAATTTTTATCTGAATAAAACTCACTGAGTGACATAAAAAGGCACTGGTATTTTACCGAGTCATGCGAATGGTCTAATACAACATATGTTTAAGGTTCTAAAGAGACAGAATGACAGAAGAGTTAATCATCAAAGTATTACTGCTAAGACTGCAGCCAACTTCGTCTGCTAAACAGGACGAGTCTTGGAGATTTACAAATGTGAATTATTGATGCTATTGAGGTTTACAGAAAGAATGCTAATCGATCGCCAGACGCAAGATCATCGGTTAGACCAGTGAGATTCAACTAAACTCTGATGCCAAATAAGAAAGTATTGTTCAAGAGAAACGAGTTGCTTTCAAATCACCCACTGATGTTGAACGAAATGATCCATGTGCTTAGTATACGTCATCTTGGGGGAGGAGCTGATATAAAGTTAATATAATAAATGATATAACTCGGGAGTTAAGATGGGGTAAGTTTCCGGCACGGGGTGTATTAAAGAGCACTGAGTATTTATGAACAAGACACGTAATTTACGTATCGCTTCTGGAAGAAGGCATCCAAATTCCTGCAGCTGCTTCAAGAAGAAAATTTTTGAGACATTGCTTGGTATCCCGAGCTACGGGAGGACTGTGTGAGCCAGATACGTAGAGTGTTTTTAAAACGCCACATTTACGACAGCCGTTCGGCCGGATTTCTTGAAATGTCAAACAACGAAACCAAAGAATCACCTTACATGCTCAGGCCATCTTCAAGGGAATCATACGTAGAAAAAAATGATGTTGAAGGAAAAATTCCTGAGAATTGTCTATTATCATATTGCTTCTATCAACGTTATAACATTGTAACCACATGTGCGAAAATGCAGAGTGGTATGCAATATGTTCGACGGCAGGCGGAGTTGAATCAACTTTTATCGATACTCAGGCGTGTGCTTCGACAGCATGACAAAATCCAATGCTTGGCTGCCTCTATCTCTGAACACTAATATCGTTTTTTTGATAGCTCAAACATCGCCATTCTAATAATGTGCTCTTTTTATGAGAATTCTCTCGAGTAGTTCAAGATCAACGGTCGCTACAATTTAGTGGATATGGACACAGATATTCACTTCAAAACAGTCGAAAGATTGTGGAGATTAGAAAAATGGAGCAAACAAATGACTCCGGGGCACTGTGCCTCTCCAGCTGGAGTCGTACTTTACTAAATCATGCGACACCACCTGATCAGATGTGACAATTATTCGAAGTCATTATTGGAAACAACTGGAGATTTTAGGCCTCTTGCGTCTCGACTGTAACTTACACTGTTGATTTGTCGATATTTGAAACATGATTATTGTTCTTGCAAAGGTTCTTTATCGAGATAAAGAAAAACAAGTCAATACGGAAGACCAGCTATTCATTTATCACTTCATGTTCTTTCTAACAAGTAGTCGGCTCAAATATCCCAATAATACCTTTATCTCGAGTGCTTTGCTTTGACCATGCTCAAATTTCAATACATTATTATTTGAGCCAACTTGTCATGTGGTCTGGTAAGGGCTCTTGTACAGCCCGATACACGTGTTTCGTACTTGCATACTCGTCAGCCGGGCAGAACCCGTCGTCCTTCGATCTTTTTGTAGTCAGTTCTCTCGTGAGCCTTACACTCCTTATAGAGAGTCATCAAAGACGAACGTTTTACACTCTATGTCAAGTGAAATGTTCACCTAACCCAGAGTGTTGCGCACTCGATCGCTCTTTTGCTGGTACTCTTATCATAATATACCTTTATTTCGAGTGCTTGGTTAAGACCAAAAGGTAGAAAGACGACGGGTTCTGCCCGACTGACGGGTCTGTAAGGACGAAACACGTGTATCGGGCTGTACAAGAGCCCTTACCAGACCAGATGACAAGTTGGCTCAAGTAATATCCCAATGATCTCATTACTGTTACTTTTGAAAACACTCGCTAGGGGCTGTGGCAGAGAATAGAAACGACGTTTTGCACTGGCACCTCTTTATTTTCTACTAGAGTTTGTGGATGGTCTTTGACAATTCGCTAGTTGTTTGAGAGCACAAATCCAAATGAGTCTGAAACTAGGCTGTTTCGACAAGATCTCCAAAGAGCGCAGGAAAAGCCGAAAAGAACATAACGTTTTGCACTCATAAGCATAGGTTACTAAGACTATAGTCTAGCAGCGTGTATTTTTTGCTGGTATGAAGGAAAACAGATTAGAGAGACTCAGCAATCTAACTGGAACGAAAACAAGGACTGAAACGCGGAACTGCTTACACAGATCTAATCGATGTTTGTGAAGTACTATGAGTGACAGTGGTTCTGCAGCGTTCACTCTGCTTTTAATCCGCGACAGACAAAGCATAATTTAGTACGCCCGACATCAGAGGATTCGCATCAGCGTTTAAAAAAATGAGTGGACTTCTAGCTTCACACTATGTAGCTCTCTTCTAGGATGACAAAAGATATGTTGTGAGACAACTTTTTTGC